GAGGGGAGGGGAGAGAGGGGAGGGAAGGGAGGGGAGGGGAGGGGCAACGAGGAAAGAAAGAGCAGTAGGGAGGGTGGATATGATCAACGCACTGTTTATGAATATATGAAACTGTCATAACGAACCCCGTTATTTTGAACAATTATCAGAGGGTAATAATTATAATTTTAAAAGGATAAATAAAAAGATTTTGTTTTGGAAAGTTTGGGCCCGCCCGATTTCGCAGCAGGCGGGCACCTAGACCCCTGCATCAGGTTTCCGAAGGCGGGAGGGGAGGCAGGCCGCCCTTCCTTCCCCTTCCCACGGAGCACAAATGACAGAGGGACGCCACGGGACCACCAGACCCCGGCGGAGAGAACTGCGGGCCTGGAGGCCCGGCGAGCCCGGCGAGCCTGGGGCCTTGGCTCGGTCCGCCCCTCCGGCCCGCCAGGCCGCCTCACCTTCCAGGTGCCCAGGCCCACTGCGGGGATCTTCGCCATGGCTCCCGCTGCGGGTCCAGACCTTCGCCACGGACCGGACCCGGCGAATCTCCGCGGTCGAGACGAGAGGCGACCGGAGTGCAGCGCGGAGGACCTCCTGATTGGCTGGAGCTGCGACGGGCTGGAGTCGGCTCCCCGATTGGTTGGCGGCGCTGATGCGGCCGGGCCAAAGGACCAAAGGGTTCTCTGATTGGCCGGCTGTGCCGCCCGCCTCCTAGGGGCCTGACCACCTGTGTTCAGGTGTGCTTCTCCGCTCCCACAGTCACGGGGCATCTCCTCCGGTCTCCTAGCAACGTGGCTGAAACTTACAATGGATGTTGGGGAAGGGGACCCCAAGGTTCCCGGGGCACTTTTCAAGCCCAGAGCTATCCCCAGGCTACTTTTTGCTAAGAGCCTGGGATCCTCCTCTATCCACCACTTTACACCTGGGTCTAGGGTAAGCCTCTCACCCCTGGGGAAAGAACCTAACAGAAGGAAATAGGAAAGGCGGTGGGACAAACCTGCGTAGGGGGTCCAGCCTCTGCTGGGATCCGTCCTCTGCTTACAGCCTAGGGAAGTGTGGGCGGGGGTGGAGGGGGAGGTAATTTTTGTTGTTCTGTCATTGCTAGGATTTGTCAGGGAAGAGTTTTTGTGGTCACTGTCATTCTTTGTGGTGGTCACTGTTCCATGTTGAACAGGGTGTTTCTCAGGGTATCAGCTCCCGGTAGCAGTTCTCCTTACAGGGTATTGTCTGGGGTTTAGGTCAGGCTGACTGTCTTGCTGGGTCTGAGTAACCATAGGGTGACTCTTGTCCTAAGGTGGGAGATATGTTTTAAGATGTTGTTCATCCTAACAACTCCCACCCGCTGTGTGGAGCTGGTAGTATGGGATACAGGAGAGACGGTCTTAATTTCTTCTTTACAATTGGGTTGCTTGGAGCAGATGACCCTGAAGGTCCTACAGGCTTGAGGAGGTGTTTGTTAGCTTCAATACTCCATAATGACCCACGGTGTATTGAGTCCTTAGAAAATGCCTTCTTCCCCCAGGGGTCCTTCAGAGCAGACAGCTGCTAATAGGGAGTTATGAGAGGAGGACCTGAAGTGGTATAGAAAATGGTAGATCCCAGGGCCTAGGGACAAGACTGTTGGGCTCTTAGGGATCTCATTGGAACAGCAGCTGAAGTCATGCTCATGTTCTGGTGAAGAGCCTGCTGAGTGAGCTGGACACCAGAGGGAGAAACCAGACAGGAGGGTTTTCCAAGGTCCCTCTAGCTTGCATTTGAGCCCCTGGAGACATCCAAAGACAGGTCAAAGTTTTGTTTCTGATTTTCCCTGCTTGGAGCTGCAGTTCAGGGCTGACCACCAGGGAAGAGCAGTGCCCCCTGTACTCAGTAGAACAAGTGGAGCTTGGGTAGAGGCCACACAGTGTCATTCTGGGTGTCCTGCCAACTGCCACTCAACTTGCACTTTACTTTGCTAGCATTCAGAGCCTCACGTATGCTGCTCAGAGATTGGAGAAGGGACTCAGATCTCGCATTACTCACAGCAACCGTGCTCTGAGACTTCCTTTTGCAAAGATAGTATTAGGACCTGGGTGAGACTCTGGAAGGTATCTATACAGGCTCTACACTTTAGGAGCTCATAGTCTAGAGGACAGGTGAACTGAGTCACAAAACAAAATCCATGTGAAAGAGAAGAGTAATTGCTGTTGAGAAATGAAGCAGGATGCTGTGAGGGAGAGTCAGCAAGGGAGAATCCTAAAAGCCTCACTGAGGTGACATTTATGCTGCCATCAGAAAGAAAAGGGGAGCCAGCCTTGTAGCAGGATGGGATCAATGTGCATGGGGAAGGCTCCACTGTGCAGAGATGTGGAGGTAGAAGTGAATTTAGCCAGAGAGGAGATTAGAAAGGAGGACAGTGTGGCTGGAAAGAGTTTGGGAGGAGAGGAAGGGAAGGAAGGAAGAGGGCAGGGCCAGACACTGAGATCTAGAAGATTATACAGGATTTCTATTGCTCTTTCACAGCATTACTCTAGACATAGTGGCTCATAACAAGCATTTAGTATCTTTCAGTTTCTGTGGTCTATCAGCAGTTTGGGACTGTGGTCTCCACTGAGGCTTGACTGGGATAGGATCCCCTTCTGAGCTCATTTACAAGTAAGATTCCATTTGCAGTGAGATCTTTTCTTTTTTTTTAGCTGGGAACCTCCCTCAGGATTTTGAAATGGGGGCCTCTCCATATGATGCATATTATAGCTCAGCTTGTTTCAGGGCAGAGTTGAGAATGGGAGGAAGAATATTGGACAGAGGATCCAGACAGAGATGTAATTTATCTTGGAAGGAACATCTAATCACTTCTGCTATATTCTTTTGGTTAGAAACTAGAGACTAAATCCACCCTCGGGAATGCGGGGATTGTCTAATGAAATATGTACCAGGAAGTGGGGGTTGCTGGAGCCTTTGTAGGGACTACTGGAAACAGGCCAAAGTGAGACACTTGTGTCTAAATATAAGTAGAAAGGGAGGCCCTTGGAAAGTTTAATGCCAGAGGGGATATCTAGATTTCATTTTATTTCAACCCTGGTCTTATGTAGATTAGAAAATGAGTCCAAGAAGGTAAGTGACTTTCACAAGATCGTGTAGCTGGAATCCCAGGATTATTTTGAATTGTATCGAATGCTGTGTCCCATCCCATTTTGTAATTCTTCAATCTCTAAGTTTATGCATTAGCTGCATGTCATTTCAACTCATGGGTTTAAAAGGCACTATTTAGTATATCTGTTGTTATCTCCAGGAATTAAAGTCCAGATGATCCCCATTGAGCAGATGGGGAGACAGAGGAGGGCCTCAAAGGTATAATGACTTGTCCAGGGTCTCAGAATTGGGAAAAAAAAAGGGAGCCATGTGTTAGCTTTCTCCTTAAAGCTGAGCCCTGGCTGCAGCAAGATCTTCGCTAGAGGCTGCTAGGGAATCAGGGGCTGGGGCTTCCTTTTCCTTTTTTTTCTTTGAAAAAAGCATTCATATTGGCAAGTTTTTCCATCTTGCAGGACCATCAGAGTCTACATTACTGCTATGAGGATTCTCTTGTCTTTTGACTTCCTCCCACTGTGGCTACCATAACTGACCACTGATTCCTCCTCAGATGCTCCTGTGTTCGACCCCAGTCCTCTTCACCCTTGGACTGGACTCTAGGTCCTCCAGCTGGGCCTCACCTGAAAGGGGCCTGCATATTCCCAGTAGGGGCACATTCTCAGATAATGGGTGGTACTGTGACCAGTCACCCAATACTGAGTAGTCTATTCTGTCTTTAATCTCGTCTTATAAATTTTAGAATCAATTTGTCAATATTCACAAAATGACTTCATGGAATTTTGATGGGAATTGCATTGAATCCTGAAATCAATTTTGAAAGAAACAACATCTTGACAATATTGTGTTTTTCTGCCCATGAACTTAGGATGTGTCTCCATTTATTTAATTTTCTCATATTGTTCTTCAGAGTTTTGCAGTTTTCTGACTACAGGACATGTGCAGGCTTTGCTAGATTTACACCTAAGTGCTTTGTTTTGGCGGTGCTAATATAAATGATATTCTGCTTCTAAATTTGGATTTCACTTGCATTTATACTATTATATAGAAAAACAATTAACTTTTGTATATAATCCTTGTGTCTTGCAATTGCTTATGTTTCAGGAAGTGTTTTTACTGATTTTTCTTCTTCTTTTTTTTACATAGATAAGATGTCACTTTGTGAACAAAGATGATTCTATGTCTTCCTTCCAATCTGTAATTCCTTTCTTCCTCCTTTTTTTTTTTGTCTTCTTGTATTATCTAGGTCTTCCAATGCAACATTGAAAAAGAGTGGTGAGAGGGAACTTCATTGTTTTCTTCCCAATAGCAATAATTTTTAACAGCACAGTTTCCCAGAATGTGCCCAGTAGACTCAGGAAGCTGGCCGGGCCTTCAGGAACTTCAGCCTAGAAGATTTCTAATGGGCTTTTTTTTTTTTTTTAAACTGTCTCCTTGACAGATGCACTTGTACTTAAGGGCACAAGCTTCACACTTGAAGTACTCTTGTTGCCTGTTAACAGCTTTCTGCTACAGCTGCTTTGGATGGAGCTATTTAAAAAATTCTGCTTAATAAGCAGTTATTACTTCATTCTTAGGCTTTGTCTTTCTCCTTTGGTTTGTCTTCAGTGAAAGCTGACATTTGCTTACTGTGGTTATTGTCTTGGTGATTGGCTCTCTGTGTGCTACACTTCAGATATGCTAGTAGCTAGTGTGAATCAGGTGGTTGGGAAGGAAGTAGTAATATGTAGGAGAGCCCCCATGAAAGCAGATAAAGGTTTTGTCCTTTTGGAAGATGAAATTTGGAAAGTTTACAAGGAATTATAGTATAAACTAGAAAAATAGCACAGAATAAGATTATATTATATTTGAAGATTAATGGAACTCAAAAATGAAGAAATCATGCTAAATTGTGAAGCAATGAACAATTGAGATAAACCTTGAAGGACAGATGAGTGGAAGTGGTGATTGAACAGCTCAATTTAAAGATTCTCAGCTTAGAGCTTATTATTAAGGGAAAAAGGAGAATGAAGCAGAAATGCACCATGAATGTACTTTTAAAATTATACTCTGAGGATTATTCATATTACTATTCATAGATGGTTTATTCTTTAAGATGAAGAAAGTTAGAAAAAAAAGTGGCTGAATAATTCAGATTGGATGCAGTGGTTCCCTTGTCCTGTGGCCTGCTTCACACAATATTAACGATAGGAAAGAGTCTCTGGGGCACCACCTGCACTGTGGTTCTACATTCTCTGGTATGGGAGGTAATAGCCCAGATCTGCTGCAGTCCATCTCCTTAGCAAACCTGTGACTTGGGAGCTGGATACTTCCAGACAACCAGATGTGATTTCACTGTGTACATCTGATTTTGAAAGATGACAACAGGGAGGCAAAATGCAGAAGCAGTGTTCCAGTGCAGCTGGGCAGACAGGCGCACTTAAGAAAGGGAAAGTGGGTCATCTGGGGCTGGAAGGCTGGAAAGAAGCCATATAACAGAAATGCAGTCAGCCGATGGAGCTTCAAATAAACCAAAGCCAAGCCCTGTTCTGCTGGTGGCAGCTA